CTTCATAGTTGCATAAAATTTCAAATCAGAATCTGGTTTCTATGATCCTGACTGTTACTGTAAATTGTTTTTTGTTTTTGGTGGCTCTATGTGAGTAAAGTAGTAGTATATTCTATTTTAAAAATTTTCTTATGATAATGTACTGTGATGTAACTTCCTTAGATTTTCTGTTATTGATGTCTTCCATTCTTAATTATTTATTATTTAAGTATCTATTACATATCTAGACTTCGTGCTTGAGAGAGAGAGAGTGTGTGTGTGTGTGTGTGTGTGAGATTCATTCTCTGAACTTACAAGTGAACTTTCATAAATTTCCAATTCCAGGCAGAGCGGACAAAGGAGAGGCTTAAACAGGTATCCGTTTTCCACTATGCATCCTATAATATTGTATTCATCAATGTCATCACATCTGAGGGCATTATTTAGCCTCCATTGGAAAAAAATAAAAATTATATATGGTTTAATTTAAAAATAGATAAAAATGAGTTGATAAGTTATTAGTACTTGTGTTGCATTGAAATATTTGGTTGAAATGAAGTTGGACAATATATAAATCATAGATAAAAATGAGTTGATAAGTGATTAGTACTTGTGTTACAATGAAATATTTGGTTGAAATGAAGTTTGACCGTATATAAATGATTTATATATTTTCCCAAATGGAGTAGTTTTGTGTGAAATAATAATGAAGTTAATATGGCACTTTTACTGAGCGTTTTCACTTTCCTACTTATCAAGAGGCTGCCAGACCTTTTCTATCAACGGTTCCTTCCGTCTATTTTGTACTGCTTTCACAACAAAAGACAAATTTGCAATTATTTCAGTTAAGAGAAACTTCAACCTTACCTCAAGCAAAACATATAATTTACTTCTAGGAAATAACATATGACACTTGTGCAGATGCTGCACTATTTTTAAGTTAATACTATGAAGTGCAAGATATGTTTGATGACATATAACATAAAACTCAGAACGCTGGAAAACACTTTTTATGTGAAACCGCTGGAAAATACTCAACATGAGAAATAAGTGTTTAAATAAAACTTTATTTTAATATAATTCTAAAATTTAGAAATTATAAAAATTTAAGTTCTAAAAAAAAAAACTATTTATTTCAATGAACACAGATAAAAATTCTCAATCTAAGTTATTAATTTTTATTTTTTTATTTCCTATATTTTGACAACATAATTTAATAATTATATTTATTTTTCTTTTATAGCAAAAATCTTATATTGTAAGATTCACCAACCTTAAATTATATATGTTACTTGATAATATATTAACAAAAAAATGTTCTATTTTAATGAATAATCAAATTTCAAGAAATAAAATGTCATAAAATAATTTCTCAAAATTTCGAACCGAACGTGTTTTCCAGTTTTCTATTTTGAAAACAGTTTTTGGGTGACAAATCAAACACCTTTTCAACAATTATAAAACAGAACCTCCAAATAGAAAATTGAAACCCAAGCCAATGGGGACTAATTGTATTTTTTCTCTCTTCCACAATGAGTGTAGAATGAACCATAGAGGTATCAGTTGACCTATTTTGCAGCACTGGAAGTAAGGATTTACCTGTTTAGGTTGCAGTTTTTCTGTTTCTTTTTTTTTTTGGTTGCTGTTTTTTTTTTTTTTTTTTTTTTTTTTTTTTTTTTTTTTGTGTGTGTGTGATTTTCATTTTTCTTTTTGGTATTTTTTGTATTTTTTATTTGGAGTGGTGGTGGACGTGTTATAATTGAGTTGTAACAAGGAGATGATCACGTCTTGCAGTTTGCATTGCCTTTTAAATTTAAAATGGTTAGTAGATTGCAGGTTATTTACAGAATTAAGCTTAAAAGTTATCAATTCATTTTCCACTGAGTACAGATGATGTACATGAATTGTGCTCTAGCTGACCCATGCATGTCCTATCATTGATGATCCAGTAGATCTATCTTTAGGGAATTAATATCTATGGGACATGATTCAGTAAATATCATGTATAGGTAGTCTCCACATCACTGAAGAAGAAAATGTTGTATGTACATAGCTTTATATGATCATCTGATGACTGCTGGAAAATGTTAAGAATATTATTAACCTATGCAATTGCCCTTTCAAACATAGATAAGTGGACCATATCGTTCCATTTAAGTTGTTTGAACTTTTTAAGCATTTATAGGTGGATGTTTGGCTATGCTTAACTTAGTCAATTTACTTGTAAGTAAATAAGTAAGTTTTGACACAAGTGACTATTTATTGAACTATGATCTTTCTAGTCTTTGTTTGGGAATCGTTTTTACTCAACTGTCATAAGCTCATAGGCACAACATAATATAGCAATTTTTTATTTTTTATTTTTTATTTTTCTTGGTCTTGTCTGCAAGTTAATGTCTCTCTACTACAAAACATCAACACCAATTACGAGTGTAATATGAAATTGTTGAGCGGAATGACTGTTATTGAATCTATGAATTATTTCTCATGTAGCTAATGAAGAACGTGATCCCTGTCATGGAGAAGCGAAGACCTTCACGTTTCCTTCGGAGAGTTCGTTCCATGCAGTGGTAATCAGACTCTAGAGCACAACACATGAAGATATTTAAATGCCCTTTCTCAGAAGTGGGCAAAGTGAATGTGTTTGAAAGTCTTTTTTAGCATGTCTGACAGATAATTGGATAGCGTTGGACAATACTACAAAAGAATGAGAAGTTAAAAACTTCTTTATTATACTATTCAAGTCTGTCCAATTCAGCATCCGAAACTTGCACTCTGGGTTTTCGAGATATTTATGCCGATCATTAGTCTTGAAAAGCAGTTATTCTTCTAGCTGTAAAATGAAATAGCATAAAGGAGAATATAAATTGGGAATATTTGTGATGAAATTTATGTTGAGTAAAGTCTAATTATTATCTCCCATTCCCAGGTGCTAATGTAAGGGGAGGGGATTTTAATGGCTTCTTGTATCAGTTAATGGCTTATGATAGTCCCTTTTTACACTGTGCGTGCTATATAATATGGATTTTGATATTTGTACAGTCGTACTAGGACTGTACAAATTATACCCCCTCACAACAGAGGGGGCCCGTGCCAGTAAAAGAAGGCGCGGGCCCCCCATTGTGAGGGTGGCTTAGTGTTTGGAGTTCTGCTACCTTTACAAAAAATCTGTACATTTAGCTTATATATATATATATATATATTAATTTTTTTTATGTGGGACCGACCCCTTACAATGAGGGGTCGGTAAAACCCCTGTAGGAAATTCCTCTATACACAGAGCAATTTCCCAAGAAATAATCTGATTATTGCAATATCAGATTCTGGCATGGCCCCATAATATTAGCTTGTTAGTTAAGCCAATTACATTCCAATTATCAAATGGGGAATTATCAAAAATGTTACTTTTTTTTTTATAATGCACAAAAAATTTGTATGTGCACCTAATTTTATAAAAAATGTCACTTTTTGTGGGAAATGTCCAACTTACTCTTTATGTCCCCTTTTTAGAGCATTTAATATTAATTTTTCAATCCAATTAATGTTATGATTTGATTAATTAAATTTATATATTATAATCATTGGATTTATTAAATTTATATATTATAATCATTTTATATATGTATATTCTCCCTTTTTCATGTTTCTAGCAATTGAAGTTATTTCACTTATTTGATTTTAAATTTTAAAAATCTGATTTTGAAAAGAATATAAATTTTAGGTTGAAATAAAAAAAATAAAAATAAAAAAAGGTAAAGGCACTGGTAACAATTGCCGCTGCCAGTGAGGAGCGCGGCAACGAGCTTCGCGTCTGCCACAGAGGCAGCGGTTGGAAGCTATCCAGTCGCCGTTGTTGGACAGAGGCAGTCTCCGCCACAGGTGTCGACCATTGTCAACATTGTAAAAGAAAAAAAAATTGTTGTCTAGGTTTTCAGCAGATTTGGGTGATTGGAGACGGTGCCTATTGTGCAAATTCAAAATTTGCAAGTCTCTGCTTGAAATTTAATATAAAAGGTATTTAAATAATTCAGAGGGTCAAAAATGTCCTAAATTGACATTTTTGATAGAAAATTAAAAAATTGACATCTTTGATATTGCACAACCAAATTTTGACACCTAATGAAATTTCCTCTTATTTTATTTATGGAATCTTGAACTATAGTTCTTTGTACTATAAGTTTCTACCCCACAAAAACTTGCTTGTTAACCTGATTTGCTAAGACAAGACCGCTGCTATTCCTGGCATCTTCGTCTATATTTGGCATGTAATGATAGTGATTCATTTTTTGAAAATTCATTTTTCCTCAAAATTATTTTCAATCACATTCTCTCAAGAAAATTATTTTACACTTAAATTCAAAACTTTAAAATCAATATTTAAAAAAAAAATAGAGTTCAAACAGACCCTAAATTTAAGTGGACATTTTTGTACTATTTGTATAAGCCAACTTATAGCATGTTTAGGAAGTGTTTATAAATAATTTAAATTATAAAATATAAAAATGAGTAATAAATAAATAGATGGTACTTATAAATCCTTTGAAATCTTTATAAACATAGGCTTTGTTACGAGTTATCAGAGTCCGGGTTACAATAAACATCAACTTATATTATTGATGTTATCATATTTGCCAGACATGCTTCTGATTATATTCAAAGTAACAAAACTGTCTATTTTTCTTCCAGAAGAACAAGAAATGAGAAAACATTGAATTCAAATGTAGAGCTTGGAATATAAAGTATGCAAGTCTCCCCTTGATATCTCTTTGCACATGGCCTATCCTTCCATGTCCCTGCCCTTTGATTTTCTGAAGTACCTTAGGACCCCCTAGCCTATGGCTTCTCAAGATTCATTATATTTTTCTTCATGCATTGGTCTTTCATCCCATTATCACGGTCTCCCAAATCATTTGGGATTCATGCATTCTCTCCTTGATAACACTTCTTATGCTCAAACTCTCTATGCTTCTCAAGATTCCTTATCTTTTTCTTCATCCATTGGTCTTTCATCCCATTCTCACATCAGTTGTGATTCATGCAATTTCTCCTTTACCTTCCAATCCAAGGGGTCTTGAGTGGAGGACACTCTCATCAGGTTAAGTTCTTGTTGATTAATAAGTCGCCACATATTAATTTCAGAATAGCATCAATACTGAAATGTTCAGGGATCAAAATCCCCTTCTTGTAGGAGAGTTCAGATACAAAAAGATTGAGAAATCGCCCCCTTCTTATCGGGGCACTTGGAAAGCTGGAATGTTTAAGTAACAATACTGACACAAAACGCAAATATTATCACTTCCTGCTTACCAAGAAACACGAGATGTGTGGGCATTAGCATGATCAAGAAACTCGTAGAGTTAGCAACTCCATAAAAAATCTGTACGTAAAATTGCTCACACCAAGGAAACCAAAAATGAATTAAAAAGCATCTATTAGTACAGTAAGTAGTCGTACCATAACAAGAAAATGACAGCAGCTATTCAGTGAAACGAACTATCTGTTATATATTTATGGTATAAATATAAAATATGGAAGAAATAATCAAATTAGATGAAGTGGCAAAATGGTGGGAAATGAGACATTTGTGTGGGACGTCATGGGTTCGAGTCGCTCTCCACGCAAATATTAAAATGTCTTGGCCTTGGACTCTTGGGCTTCCTTGACTAAAATAAAATAAATATTTTTTTTATTTAATAGGTAAAATTAGCCAGTATTTTCTGATCGTTTGTTTTTGTAACAACCCACTAACAGTCATTGAAAAACCCACTACTCAGTCGCTAAAATTCTGCATTACTTTTTGAACATAGTGGAGACTGTTGCTTCCATCTTGCCTATATAAATCCATATCTCGTTTTGAGAAAAACACACATAAAAAGAAAATAGAAAAATCATCTTGCATCAATTCTCCTTTTCATATTCTGAATTTCTTATACTCAGGTTTTTACATATATTCTGGTGTACAATTGAGAGTTTTGGAAAAATCATTCGTGATTGCTACACAAGTGGTTTACGATCGTTGTATCCTGGGAGTGATTGTCAACAGATGTCGCAGCAATTATCGACAGGCAATTTCACTTTAGGACATCGTGCTGTCACGAGACTCGATCAGACGATAAGTTTTATATTTCTGCATTTTATTGCTCTAAACATTACTGCAACTAATTATTTTTCCAACAATCTAAAGTAACATTCTCTTTATAATTAGTTGCCATGTTTGCCGTAGATATATCTGTTCCTAAGTATTCTGAAAAATCTGAATTGTTTGATGGAAAGAATTTTAAGAGATGGCAAATGAAACTGCGATTTTATTTGACAACACTTAAAGTCGTTGATGCTATTGAATCAGATAAACCCGTTTTTGCAATTGCTGATAATCCTACTGATAAGGAAACAAAGGATTTAGCTAATTGGGAACATAAGGATTATATGTGCAGGAATTATATTCTGAATTGTTTGACTTTAGATCTATATAATGTTTACTTGTCGTGTAAATCTGCAAAAGAGTTATGGAATTCATTAGAAAAGAAATATGCTACAGAAGATGCTGGAACCAAGAAATTTGTTGTGGGAAAGTTTCTAAATTTTAAAATGAATAATGTTAGAGCTGTGGTCAGTCAAATTGAAAAATTGCAGATTATAATTCACAAAATTATTGTTGAAGGATATAAAATTTGTGAGGGCTTTCAAGTGTCAACTATAATTGAAAAATTGTTACCTTCTTGGAAAGAGTATAAAAATGGTTTGAAGCATAAGAGAAAAGAAATGTCCTTAGAGGATCTGATTATCAGGATTAGAATTGAGGATGATAATAGAAAGACAGAACGTAAAGAAAGGCCAGACTTTGATACCAAGGCTAATCTTATTGAAGGAAGTTCTAGTAGTAAGAAACCAGTTGGAAATTTTACAAGGGGTTAGAATTTTAAAGGCAGAAACAAGGGAAAATAATTTGTAGGAAAGAACAATTGGTCTAAGCCCCAGTTTAAAAATAAAATTGTGGGTGACTGCTTTGTTTGTGGTAAATCAGGTCACCTTGCAAAGGATCGCAGAAATAGGAAAGGAAAAGCTGTGAAGCATTAGGCACATGTGGTAAAGGATGGAAATTTCTCTGCTATGGTAACAGAAGTGAATCTAATAAGCAACATGACAGACTAGTGGGTAGATTTTGGAGCTACCAAGCATATTTGCTGCACGAGAGGTGCATTTTCTTCATTCACTCCCGCTAGTGATGAAAAATGTCTGTTAATGGGGAATGCTTCCTCCTCCAAAATCGAGGGGAAAGGAACTGTGACGCTTAGATCTACTTCTGAAAATATCCTTAATTTGAAGGATGTCCTTTATGTACCTAATATTAGGAAAAATCTAGTTTCTGGATCTATCTTAGTCAAAAAGGATTTTAAGATTGTATTTGAAAATGATCAAGTTGTACTGTCTAAGGGTGGTTCCTTTGTTGGGAAAGGGTATGCAGATGAGAGTCTGTTTAAACTCAATGTCTCTGTGATTAACAATAAAGCATCTAGCTCTTCCGTTTACTTGTTGGATTCTTATGATTTGTGACATGCTAGACTTGGACACGTAATAAAACTTCCATTAAAAAATTAATGACTTTGGGAAACATTCCCAAAATCGATAATTGTCCAAATTCAAAATGTGAAACGTGTGTTGAATCTAAATATGCTAGAAAATCATTTCCTCGTGTTGATAGGACTACTTTGGTTTTAAGTTTGATACATTCTGATTTATGTGACTTAAAATGATATGTTACTCGTAGTGGAAATAAATATTTCTTAACTTTCATTGATGATTATTCTCGATATTGTTATATTTATCTACTAAAGAGCAAGGATGAAAGCTATTCAAAATTTATTTCATATAAAACTGAAGTAAAAAATCAGCTAGACAAAACTATTAAAGTTTTAAGATCTAATAGGGGAGGAGAATATACAGGAGATTTTGATAAATTTTGTGTAGAGAATGGCATTATTCATGAGACTACTCCACCTTAT